TCTCTCTCACTAATAGAGAATATAATATATTAATCTAAAATTTTTTTTATTAGTATTATATAAACTACTTAAATATAAAAACTGTTATACGACGACTTTGTACATTACTTTATTCGAATGTTTGTACAAATAAGAAGAAACATTAACAAATTTTTTTTGTATAATTGTATGAAAAATAAATAATATAACATGGTGAAAACATCATATATTATATTTTTAACAAAAGACACAGGGTGTCCCAAAATTATGTTACTTCCAGGAAATAAGGGATTCCCGAGGTAATTTGAAATAACGCAATTCGCGGGTTTATTTACAAAGTTATTACGAAGAACACTGACCAATAAGAGGCGAGCTCAGCTCTTTTCGCGAAACTGGGCTTCTACCGCCTCGTGCCAGCCGATCTCGCCTTTCATTGATCACTGTTTTTCATTAATAACTCGTAAACAAAGCCGCGGATTACATTTTCGCTAGGAAAAATTTACTTCAAATAACCTCAGGATCACTCCATTTTCGTATTGCGACACATTTTTGGAACACCTTGTATATTTATGTACCAACTTGAACACAAAAGCTTTTTCAGTACTGATTACAGCTAACGAAAGAATTACTTAGGCCAATTTATTCAACAAGGTAACCTAAACTATGTTTCATTACATTTCGTGTAAAATGAGTATTAACATTATAATAATTTTTTGATGTTTTCAGACTGTACTAGAAAGTTTACAAACACTGATTACAGTGCTTATTCTAACAAGAGGGAATCCCCTTATTATAAAGTATTCAACATACGTTGTACAATGACAATCGAATCCAAGTATCATCATTTGTGTGCAGAATTTGTATCTGTTGCTCAATTACATGTCGACGATAAAATATTCGATGCAATCAAGGATTATTATAAGACTTATATAAATTCAAAGCGTAAATTAAGTCAAATTAAAGATTTGAATGCATTAATGAAAATATTAGAAAAACGAGATACTCTTAGTTATGACAATATTGAACCTCTTGTTGATATTTCAAATAATTTTTTAAAAGAATCTCATATACACACTTTAATAAAGGATTATAAATCTTATCTTGAGAACACAGAGTATTCAAAATTTTGTGGCATGTACAAAGATGAAAATGGTAGGTCCAATTTAATAGAGATCTTTTGTTTTGTTAGTGCTCTTGTAATAGTTTTTGTGCAATATTTAATAGAACATGAATCAAAACCAACACAAAAAACTCAAGTACCTACGACGCAGGAAAAACATCAAATTAGTGAATCTAATACATCATCACAAAAATATTCAAAAAATCTCAGATCTTATTCAGCACAAGAAGAAACACTTCAAGAAATGGGTAAGACAATCTCTTTTATATGGTATATATATTATTAATCAATTTAGAAATTATTGTGTACTAAATGTATCATTCTTTTCTATTAAGTTTTGTTACAAATTAGTGAAAAAATTGGACGTTCTTGGAGAGACACAGTTCGATATTTGGGTGTTCCTGAGTATCAAGTAGATATCATTCAAAATAAATATCCTTTTGATATAAAAGAACAAAGTTATAAGGTAAGATATATCTG